AGAACTCTAAAATCTGAAACTGCAAATTCGAAAACCGTGGAGAGTCGTCGCAGATCAATTAACGTGTTGGCTAAGCAGTTCTCTTTTAACCTGGTTTGGATACCTGGACACAGGAACTTAACTAAGGAGCCACTTCCACCATCATGGAAGGGTTTGAGCATGTCGCCTTCCACTTGTAAGCTAACTATGGGAGTGTTATTCAACGAAGTTGCCAGAGAAGTTTTATTGTGTTTAACGTAATCAGGATATTGCGTCAGGGTTGGGTGTACCATCTAAATACTTTGGTAGAAGTAACAGAAAAGAAGAGATTTGAGCGAGATGGCGGAGGTAAAGATGCAAGGATTGTTTTGCAAACTCCTCGCATTAATTTTACTAGCATTAGTGTCTTTAGTAGTATCAACCATTTCAACCAACCAACCGGCCATGTAAAAGAAAGAAAAAAAAGAAACCAATTTTGTCCCTCTCTCTCTCTCAGCATTTTCTCAAAGGAATTTCTCCACATGCCCTCATTTGCATATGTCCAATAATGCCTGGAAATAAATGCTTGTCTCTCTGTCTGTCCATCAGCATTTAGTTTAGATTTTTACACGCACTCAGCAAAAATTCCAAACACGTACGAGTATACGAGGTGTGACAATCATGTAATGAGACTGATTATATTGCCGCGATTGTGGTAACCCTGCGACCTTGAAACTCCCTTTTCCTTCTTCCGTCATCCTTCTCCTCTCTTGTTTAGTTCGCCTGATGTGTCGTGTTGAGTAAACGTGTGGTCATGATACTCGTCACGGAAATGGAAAAAACGAAAACAAGAGCAACGCGTACTGATGACATTTTTCGTCCACAAGGAATTTCTTCCACCGGGACAAACTATAAATCAAGTCTACTATCACCAAGTCCTCGAAAGATTGCGAAAACGAGTCAACTGGGTGCGCCCGGACATCGCTCGTAACTGGGCCCTTCATCACGGCAATGCCGCTGGTCACCCCACCCTCAGCGTGTCCCAGAATTTGGCCTCTAAAGGGATCGGCGTCTTGCTACAACCGCTTTATTCGCCCGATATGTCACCCTGTGACTTTTTCTCGTTCCCTTGAACAAAACCCCCGGAACCCATTTTTAGTTGATTGCGGACATCCAGGCAGGCTTGACGAGAGTACCCGAGGACATCCTAGTCGAAGCATTCCAGAAATGTTAGTTGATGGCAGAGTTGCAGAATAATTTTGAAATATACGGTTTTTATGGAATCAGTCTCATTACTTAATTGTCACACCTCGTACATACATACATATACATGCATTCGTTAGAGAAGTTTGCAAATATTTTGGATATCAACTGACCAATAAGTATTATGGAGATTAAAAGCACACAGGAATTAACTTGGCAGTGACATTTTAAAATAAAGTGAAAATTGCTTACAAAATACAAATTCTCCACTCATCTTTCGTGCGTGTGTGTGTGTGTGTGTGTGTGTGTGTTGGTAAATATTTATGTTCTTGAATATATATACATACATATAAGCAAATAGAAAATATTATATCACAAATCGGCTTATTTGGTGTATACTAAAATACGAGGGTGTATCGAAAAGTTTAAAAAACTACAACAATAATTATTTCGCATAGTTTTTTATTTTTGTTTTTTTTTTCTCTCCAAAAGCTGTAAGTAATCTTAGAACCGTTTTTGCAAGTGCCTCTTAAAATCTAACTTCTCTTTGAACACGTTTTCGTTTTCTCAACTGCCCGATTTAGTTGTGTGGCTGTTAAAGTTAACAGGCGATCTGTCAGTTATCAGCTGTTACTTTTAGCTTGCTTTAGAAAAAAAGTGCGCGAAATTTGGTTTAACTTTGTTTGTTTGGCGTCAATTTTAATATGGAGCCCACAAAGGAGCATTTTCGTCATATTTTACTTTATTATTTCCGTAAAGGAAAAAACGCGGAGCAGGTTGCTAAAAAGTTACGAGATGTGTATGGTGATGAAGCCTTAAAAGGAAGACAGTGTCAAAATTGGTTTCGCAAATTCCGTTCTGGAGATTTTTCACTTAAAGATGAGCCACGTTCAGGTCGGCCAAATGAAGTTGATGATGACCAAATCAAAGCATTAATCGAATTGGATCGTCATGTAACTGAGCGTGAGATAGGAGAGAAGTTAAATATACCAAAATCAACCGTTCATTATCACATAAAAAGTCTTGGACTGGTGAAAAAGCTTGATATTTGGGTACCACATGTATTGAAAGAAATTCATTTAACACACCGAATCAACGCTTGTGATATGCACCTTAAACGCAATGAATTCGATCCGTTTTTAAAACGAATCATAACTGGAGATGAAAAATGGATTGTTTACAACAACGTTAGTCGAAAACGATCATGGTCCAAGCATGGTGAACCAGCTCAAACCACTTCAAAGGCTGATATCCACCAAAAGAAGGTTATGCTGTCTGTTTGGTGGGATTGGAAGGGTGTCGTATATTTTGAGCTGCTTCCAAGGAACCAAACGATTAATTCGGATGTTTACTGTCAACAATTGGACAAATTGAATACAGCCATCAAGGAGAAGCGACCAGAATTGGTCAATCGTAAAGGTGTCATATTCCACCAGGACAACGCTAGACCGCACACATCTTTGGTCACTCGCCAAAAACTGAGTGAGCTTGGCTGGGAACTTTTGATGCATCCACCATATAGCCCTGACCTTGCACCATCAGACTACCATTTATTTCGATCTTTGCAGAACTCCTTAAATGGTAAAACTTTCGGCAATGATGAGGCTATAAAATCGCACTTGGTTCAGTTTTTTGCAGATAAAGGCCAGAAGTTCTATGGGCGTGGAATACTAAATTTGCCAGGAAAATGGCAAAAGGTTATCGAACGAAATGGCAATTATATATTTGATTAAAGTTCATTCTAAGTTTTATTAAAAATGCATTTACTATCTTTTAAAAACTCCGCAATTACTTTTTGGGCAACCCAATACTTCATTTGTTTTATATTTAATAATATATAAATATAATGAAATATTTAGGAGTATTTTACATTGTTAAGCTTGAAGAAAGGCTTGAAGAAGCCTTTGAACGCCATATTGTTAAAAGAAATTTCTTTTTTCACTTTGTTTACGCTCCGCGCTGCTGATTTACGTTGTCACTTTCTTCCTCTTCGCAGCACTGCCACCTTTTATCTAATATTTATTATTATTATTATTATTAAACTTAGTTTATTTAAATAAACTTAATAGCAAGTACCGGCAGCTAATAGGCCATGGACCTAAATTATTATTATCTAATATTAAATGAACATTTAACACAAGGTCGAGAAAATGAAAACGAATTTATCATATCGTTAAATTTAACTGCCTGATTCTTTAAAATTTTCAGTCTGAATGGTGAATAAATAAAGAACTTTTTTTTGTTTTGAAATATCGTCTTTTCTAAAATCCGCTCCTCTACCTTTGAACCACCCTGTGCTCACCTAAATACTCGTACATGTATGTATAACAACAAATATTATTATAAAACTTCTATTTATATTTACTCCCCAAGAGCACACCATAAACACAACCGCTGACAGAGCACCAAAGGACATAAGGACATTGATGTGGACACTTGATTGGCATACATTGTGTGTGATTACGATTTTTGTGCCACCTTATTTTCGAGTGGAATATACTGAACTGCAGTATAATTCATTAAGGACATAAATGTCAAATACAAAAAAGGCTGAATAGGACGATGGAGGAAATGTAAGCCCTTTTCCAGTTTGTGGTTTTGCGTCTTGACGTTTGTTCAACAAATGGAGTGACCTACAGTTTGTACTAAGCCGCCTCCGAAAGGCTGATGGTTTTTTACGAAGAGCCTACATTTCGCGTCCTAAATACACTCGCAGCGGTGGACATTCCCAGTAGAGAGGCAACCGCAATTAGATAGATAGCTGAGGATAGATCTGGCCAATTTCACCACCAACGCAAACAGCGATTCTTCATGTGATTCTCTTCGGGTTTCGGCGTAATTTACAACCCGGATTTTTCACTCCCACAATACTACTGAAGTTAGTTTTGGAGAATATTTTTGGGACTACAACAACAACAACAACAACAACACCGTTTGACCACCATTTGATTTGGTATCTGCAAAACTCTTTTGATTGTATAAATATATTACCCTCTGAGCAGACCCTAAAAATCGGTTGAACAGTTGCTGATGAATCGCAGAAGCTACACACTGTTGAAATTATGGTACTACCCGAAAAAATTGATCAAGGTAAAAGGTATTGATGGTCATCAAATTCAAAAATATACAAAAAAACGCGAATGCTCTCTGGATGGGAACATCCAATATTTGTATACTTTTCAAAGCAAAATTTTTGTTCCCACTCAACAGCTTGATGATGATGTTATTTTCGTTCTTAAAAAAATAATAATAATGCCAGGATTATGTGTACATATATATAATAGTTCCAATTAATAGTCTCTATTGTTTATTTATTAGTTTTTAATTTTATTAATTTTTTTTTATGTCGCTGCACATTCCACTGGCAATGACCGCTAGAGTGGGGGATTATTTGTCAAAGCAAAAATGTATAAAAATTAATTTACAAAAGAGCGACAAATACATACATACTTTTGCTTTCGCAAACAAATTTCTTTCACAAAACTATTTCGTTCGAAACACAAAGCGGTGGAGAGTTCAAAAAACTCACTCTCAACTTCCGCTTGTTCAGTGTTTTTTTTTTTATTGCACTTTTGTCAAAAGTTGAAAATGAGACAAACATTAAGTGAGATATTTGAGGAGTTCAAATAAGCAAAGGCCTGCCACAGTGTGGTCACATATGGCAACATATATCTACATTTCATGCCTCCCACCACCAGCGACACAATTGAGCTAAATTTTCTATAAAATGAGGGGTGATAGTAATAAAAAAAAATTAAACTAATAATAATCCAGTGGAAAATAATTATTTTGGATATCAAAAAATATACACAAACACATATACATGCATGCATACTTACACAATTTACGCAGTCCTGCTTGCTTGCGTTTTGTTTTTGCTTATTTACGGCTCTGTGTCTGTGTTAAAACTTCGCGTTGAGTGATGCTTTCTGCTGCTATTGTATAACTATCGCTGATAGATTGATGGGTAGGAAATAGCTGCGAGTGAAGTTAATGGACGAATGGATGCTGGATTAATGTATGACTGAGTGAGTGCGTGCGTGAGTGAGTGAGTGAGTGAGTGAGTGAGTGCATAAATGAATGAATGGCTGGCTGGCGCTTACTGGCAGGCTGGATGGTTGAGTGACGGACGGGATGCTTTAATGTTTGTCGACAGCGCAGAGAAAAGCCGGTTGGTTCAATATCTACTTGTGGATGTTTGATGGCTTTTGTTATTGTTTCAAATGGTTTTTCTTTTGAATTTTCATTTAGTTTCCTTTGTCTTGCTTGAAACTGATTTTATGTGCTTTTGTTTAATTTGTTTTCAGTTTTTTACTTTTTTATTTTTTCTTTTTTTGTTTGGAATTCCCGCCAACACGCTTTTATGACTTGTTATTGTGTTAACACAACTACACTGACTTGTTATGAGTTGAGTTTAAAAGTATTGTACACAGTTGCATATATTTATGCTTTTTACATACACATACATAAATAAAACTTGCGTGTAGAGCACAAGAGTATAACTCCCTTTTTCGGAGTAATTAGGAGCGCAGCTTCGTAAGTGTAGCAGCGTTTTGGGCGTTGGAGCGCATTAATTTTTCGGAATTTAAACTTGCGTTCGAGTTTTCAGTATTCTTTTTTTTCACATGTAAATTATAATTTTTTTATTTTTTAAAATGTTTTATTTTTATTATTCCTCTCATTTATTATTTTCGCTTAAATATCACTTTTTTATTTTTGTTTTTTATTCTCTTTTTATTAAAAGTTTTTCAGGTAGTTTTTTTTTTTTGCTGCAAATAACACTATTCTGCCTTTAGTCGCATAAATTATAGGTATCTATTTGATGGCACGGCACGCCCACTTGAATATGTTTGTATTCTATACACACGCTTGCTCAGCTCAGCTCAGCTCAAAAGCACAGCAGCGCAAAAGGCATCAGCATTAGCATCAACAACCGCAAAGTATGTATGTATACCGGAAACGGACGCGTCACCAACTCAAACTCCGCACAACAAACAATTCAAATGTACTTATGTATGCATGTATGCACAATATGTATGTATGTATGTATGTATGACCGCCTGCTCTAGTGAACTGCCTGCTGATACTACTGACCCCTGCTACTTTGCTTGCTTTGACGAAGTTTTGCGCGCTTCAGTTCACCCACAACTCCGACAGTGTGTTTTACGGTGTTGTTGTTGCTGCTTTTGTTGTTTCCGTTAATGCATTCGGATGCTGCGTATGTGTATACGACGACGACGACGACAACAACTTCTGCCACACTCTATGGACCTATCCCAAGCGTATCTTTAGTAGCGCTCTCTATTTTGCCGGCATATGCTTGAACTCCTGGCGTTGGCTGAATACTCCCAACCGCTCGTAATTAACTTTTCACTTCACTTGCAGTCGCAAATTAAGCGCAACGCTGCACTTTATTTTATTTTATTTTATTTGATTTTTTTTCACAGTTATTTTTTCTACAGCAAAAATGCACGCACTTCACAATAAAGAAATTTGTGCGCTTGCAAAGGAATTTTAATTTAATTCCATAAACAAATTCTCATAGACACTGTTGGTTGATTTCGTAGCCAACAAGCAAGCATTCAATCTGGAACAATTTTCCGCCACAACGTAACGCGCACCCCAATTGCTTTCCTTCGACTGATGCGTCTATTTGTCCAGCGCTCGGTTGATGGTTCGTCGTTCGTCGTTTGTATGGCGTTTGTCTTTGATACGAACGTTTGCTTGTATGCGTGTATTTAACAGTGCGCCGGCATTTGGTTATGATGGAGCTTCACCATAGTAGAGCTTTGATGTTAACAGTTTACATTTATGTTGATTGTTACAGAATCGTTACTTGTGCGAGCAAGCGGAAATGCTTCGTGAAGTTTTAAAAAATTAAAATTAAAATTTTTTATTGATGTAGTAGTTCTCAGAAAATATTTAAGTTCTCACGTAGTAATGCTTTTTATATCCCAATAAAATAACTCATACATTGCATCAATAACATTTCTCTTAACAGCATGCGCTAACACTGCTGTTAAGTAACTGCTGAAATCATATTTTCCTGCTTTGAGCTTTTAGAAAATTTAGCAACTTTCAGTGGTTGCTGTCTTAGAAAAAAACTTTATTGTGGAAAATACACTGCGAAAAATTATAAAAAAAAGTAAAAGCACATTTATTTTTTAATTAATTACTTGAAAAGTAAATCCTATGTAACAGCATTCTTCTTCGTAATTAGTTTTTGCTCACAACTACAAGGCAGGGTCATCCAGCGCCTTCAACATTGCTTGAGGAACAGTATATCACCACTGAAATTCTAATGAAAGACCTTACCTTTGATCCAATATTTTTTAGATATGCTAAAATGTGCGGAAATCGATATGTTTTCATCAAATATTTTTTATCCAAAAAGCGTTTCTGAGCCGCAGGAAATTTAAGGCGGAGTGAAACAGAGCCAGACTCCTCAGGCCAGCGCGTAGAGGAATACCTCAGTGTGGTGTTCTGTCACCTCTTCTATGAACACTCATAGCTAATCAACTTCTGAAAAATTTTGAAGGGAAAGCTTACAAACTAATTTCACATGCAGACGACATAGAAATTCATGGACAGCATCAGTACCGTAACGCAAAGCGCTCTTTGGGTCGTACAATGGATGAGCGAAATAAGCCAACCGAAAGGTAAAAGATAACAAAACGACTGCGGTACTGTTCACAAGAAAGTATAAAATCCAATCAAGGATCATACCACGTATCTGGATGTAATTTTGTGCAACAAATCTCTCTCTGGACCTCATGCATTCGTGTTCTACAGCGGTACTTAAGGTATTCTTCCTTTGCTCCCACCGACGGGTACTGCATCGAAAACTTTCAAAGCTAAAGTATTCTTATTCATCCGGATCACATGACCTAGCACAGACGCTGTCTCTTGATTGTCGTTGTATATCTCGTACTGCTCATCATTCCATCGGCAGCGGTAATCGATTTTACCAATTCGTATAATCTGTAAATCTTACGCAAAACCTTTCTTCCGATAACTCCTAACATCGATCCATTAGATGTTGTCATATTCGATATCTCCCTTCATCAATACCAAGACCTATACCCGTCGCTTCCTTATCCAGTCTGGGGAAATCAGCACTCGCGGTGCGCTTTATATAAGATAGAATGTTATGAACTATTGTACATTAAGGAGTGCAGATGGCGCAACAACATGCAACCAGCCAGTGGAACATCTAACATTTACACTCTACCTAATTCTGTTGACGTATTGTTGCAACTACTGATGCGTTGTGGTACACACCAAATATGTATGTCACCAGATGGATTTAACAGCTCTTCAAATCCCATAAAATTCGCAACAGATTCTTCAAGAGGAATCAATACCATTTGCTTATGAACCCCTCCGCCGGTTGCTCTTGTCTGATTTTTGGCGTCATGCTCTCTTCACTTCAAATTTGAAATCTTTCCACACCTAAAATAAAAACATTCGCATTTTTATCATTTTTTATATGTATATACCGCTTTCCCGCACAGGTGGTCATACCGTATTAATTTTTCTAGCTATGACTTCCCACTCCTCTCTTAAATTGTATATAAATGTAACTTATTTTCAAATTCCATCACATAAATCGTTAACCGCTTTAATTTCTCCATCATCTAATACGTTGAAGGAAACGAAGAAACGACAGAAAACGATGCCGATAACGCTGACGAGCATACCACTACAGTGTCGTCTGACGATATTGTTGACGTTATCGTTGAACTGGTATGCCGTTACCAGTGTTACAGTATCGTCATTTTCACTGACGATGACGATATTCAGCATAAGGCCGATTCATTTTACCAGAAACTCTTTTTTTTTTTAGAGGAGGTGGACCTATTTGTATTAGATGATGCTTAATTAGGGTTCCATCGTTGTTACCTTATAACCCTTTAAAGCCTTACATAATTGCTTATACAAAACCACATTACAATTTTATAGATACTAAACAAAATCCCTTATATAAATGCTTATTGGATTGAGTACATAAGTTCGTGCCCGATTTCAAGTGCAAACTAAAATTGAAATTTTTTGAAGAAAGCGGTTTCTCGTTGAAAAAGGTGTCAAGGTGGTTTTTGACGTCTTCCACATTTTTCAATTTTTTTCCATTCAAATTGTTCTGCAGCGATCGAAACAAATGATAATCAGAAGGTGTAATGTCGGGTGAATATGGGGGATGCGGCATGATTTCCTAATTCATCTCCTTCAGTTTGGCCAGGATCGGTTTTGCAACATGTGGCCTGGCGTTGTCATGATGGAAAAGAACTCCTTTCCGATTGCCCAAAATCGGACGTTTTTCATCAATTGCTTTCTTCAATTCGAGCAATTGCTGTCAATACTTGTTGGCAGTGATCGTTACTCCAGCTGGCAAGAGCTCAAAATAGATCACGCCTCGGATATCCCACCAAATGCACAGCAGTACCTTCATCGGATGCAATCCACCTTTCGACATCGGTTCCGCCCCTTCGTGTGCCTGTTTGCCTTGAACATTGTTGTACAGGATCCATTTTTCATCACCAGCCACAAGCCGATCCAAAAAAGGTTCGTTTTTGATCCGTCGAAGCAAAGAAATTGCTGTTGACATGCGGTCCACTTTTTTTTTCACTTAACTGATGTGGCACCCATGTATCGAGCTTCAAAGTGTACCCAACCCTTTTTAAACGACGAAACGCAGTTGATTTGTTGACGTTCAATTCACTGGCAATCTCTTCCGTCGAAATACGTGAGTTATTCGCAACTAAAGTCCTTAGAACATCGTCATCAAGCTCAGAAGGCCGTCCACTGCGAGGTTGATCTTCGAGGTTAAAATCTCCAGAACGAAATTTCGCAAACCATTTCTTTACTGTGCGGAGGGCTGGAGCACGGTCCAAATAAACTTCGTAAATATCTTTAGTTGCAGCGCCTACTGTTTTTCCTTAGCGGAATTCGTATAACATAATATGATGCATATGATCTTTTTCCTTGTCCATCTTCCATGCGTCTTTTCACTAAGCAACTCAAATCAAAATGAAGTTATTTTATGCTTGCTTTACAGTTCGGACTGTCACCTTTCCAACGATATATAATATGTATATATTTCTTTCACGAGCGCCACTCTCAAGCGATTCGAACGGCATCCAGCGGAATCGGGCACGAACTTATGCACTCATCCAATACTTGGCTTATTCGACATGGAAACGAGTAAAATAGACATAGTGTTTTCAAATGGAATTCGTCCATATGAAAGAATGAATAAAAATCCACACCTTCAATAAGTATGCCTTAGTCTTTTCCCACCGATCTGTGCAATATATGAAAATTATACGATTTCTAAGGCTTACCATCTATTAGGCATATGGCTTTTGCAAGGATTTATATAAGCCATACTTTTCTTGCTGGGTCTTTTCAGAAGTTAAGGCGGCGTAGCCATCTACTCAAAAAAATTTAGATTTAAATATCGTACTAAATACGGTTGTCACAAATAAAAACTTTAACACAATTGACATCGTAATTTAAATGAAATGCTATATTGAGAGCATCAAAGTAAGGCTGTCTCTATAGACATATTCTGTCCAGGTAACAAAATTTACATTGGTATTAAAATTTACCATTCAGTAAATTTTGTTACTATTTCGTATTCTGAATTCACTGTCACCAT